ATATTTGCTCCGAGCACTTTAATGCTTTGTTCCAAGTGCTCGAGGAACTGTATGTTACGGTATATCTCTTTCGCCATAACGCTTATGTTTTGGTAGATCATTTCGGAGATAAGGCGCGCAGCTAAGTACATGAGAACGTTCGCGGTTTTATTATCTTTATATCTTCTTTCATATTCTTCCTCTTAATACATAAATGAATTTATGTGATAACTTTGTTTGCTTGCATTCCTTGGTCCCTTTTGTTTTCTTTCTCACCTTCCACATCTTATACTTCCATCTTGACATATATATACAAGATAGCTGTGCCTCTAGTTTATTCATTTCACTTTTGGTTTCCAAAGACTTATCCATCTCGCTCACTTATAGGTCCGGTAACACAAGCCCGCACTCATTCCTCCGACTCTTGGGCGGCTGCCCCAAATTCAACCACACATTCATGCGAGTACGCAACTAAGATTGCGCCCTTAGTCAATCTCTTGGACGAGTTGGTAGTTAAGGGGTTGCAGGCTAAAGAACTGCGCGATGTTACAGCACAGACGATATCGGAGGCATGGAAGGTTTTCCGTTCAGCGACGACTGCCTTAGCCAAGCAAGTGAACGAGGTGCATACCTTGCTCCAGGGCTTCAACGATTTTTTTACCGCGGATGGCCAAAGACTCGAGGGTATTCCTTATGTATCATCTTGTACTTTGGAGTGGCCCGCACCGAAAATACCCTGCTTCACGGGGGCGAATAGCGGAGTAGCAAATAGTCACCCCTTTCTCAGTATGGCTGCGCCGTTTTGAAGATATTCAAAACACGCGCCCTTCCCCGCTATCCCCAAAGCTGAAGCTCTCTCATTTGATAACCCTCCTTGATGGTGCAGGTTCTCAAAGCCCCCCGTATCCACCCAAGCGCGCGAGTTTCTGTGCCAGAATCCGTCGTTTTCTTCCGATGTACCCGGAAGAAGGAGTACTTTCTCTGAAGGTGAACCATCCCGATGACAACGAGGAACACTGGCTGGAGGATCGCGAGAGCGATTTCAATAGCCTGCACGAAAACCCCACACTTGCGAAGCACAAAATGTCCAACCTGTGCAACGCTGCGTGCTCAGCAATTGGAGCAGCAAAGCTACTCACCGACGACCGCCAGTCATATTGGGTTACCGCTACGTTCTCAATAAATTCGCCTATCCAATTCTGTCCGATTCAGGTTGACGAACATGCCTTACGAAGCAGAATGGACTCACAATCGCCCGATCGCGCTCCTCGTAGCTGGATCTCAACAAGTTTCACACGCCCTGGTTCGCTCAGTAGAGGTAAGAGCACAAGAAAAGCTCTTGATTGTCACCGTCGCAGCATTCTCGTGGTCACACTTCCATGCAACATCCAACTCTTCTCAACAAACCTTGACATTACGACTGTTGTGGACGACTGCATGCATTTGTGCAAGTCTTCCAAGCGTCGAACCCAGTATACGACATCATATTACGCTACAGCGTATACGAGAAGTTAGCACCAGGAAGCTGGGCGACAGCGTGGTTAACGTCGCATATGGCATCGGACAGCTAGCATACGCTAATGCAAATGATGCAGTGTTGTACGACCCCAACGATCCGCTTCTCTACTGCACCCTCAACGGTAGGCGCATCGAGTTGACTCCCGACCAGCAACTTGCCAAAGCACTTGGACTCAGCCGCCTTCCATTGATAGCAATCCAAACAGCGTTTAGTACGGGTAAGACGGTAGTGGGAGCTCTCATAGCAGCTACTTTAGCAAGAAACACCCGGTGCTGGTCACGGCATCTACTAACACTGCCAACGCGCAGTTTACGGAAACCCTACTGGCCTTGAATGGTTTTGAGGATATCACGATTGTTCAGTACCTAGCAGACGCCTCCGCCGCCGCTAATGCCCCTAAAACTCCGGTCTATCTCAATAACGTGTTGAAGCGGCTCGGAGATGGATTGCGGTGCGGAGGTGAACATGGAGGAACAGGAGCTATGCAAGAATTACCGCCTGGGTAGAGAAAGGATTGAGCCGTACCTGGAGGATCCGGACCTCATCTTTCAGATGACGGAGGACGAAAAGAAGGATTACATCATTCCGGCGGTTTGTGTCCGACAACATCAAAAAGATGGTCACTTTACTGTTCCACCTTCGCAGGCCCAACATCATATTGGCCATCATGTCTCCCCACTGAACACAATGGCGCCAGGCGGCATCATCAAGACCCACTTGGAGCGATTTAGTATCTTGATCGGTGATGAGTCCTCAAATACCGGAGCCCGTACTTGGAGCCATTGCCATGCGACTGTCGGACGCTCGCCATATCTAAACCGGCTCATCGACATACATTAGCTCGAGCCCCATTCGCTGTGCCCCCGATCTTCCGCGCCAGCGAGGTTTGGTACTAAAACGTCATGGCGGGATCTCCAAAGCGCGTGCGCTCCCGGTTGCGCCTCTCCTCACAACGTTCCGCGCTCACCCCCGACCTTATTGAGCTCCCGAACAGAATCGCCTATGACGGAAGGCTTCGCAGTGTATCCACCAGAGACGAGAGACGCATGCTTCTATATGTTATGCGCTTTCCGAGCGTCATGATCCCGTTCGTGTTCATCGACTTTGTTTCCCAGGCGAACCGTGCCTCAAGCAAGTCCTTGTACAGTGAAACAGAAACCAGTATCTGCTGGGACCTAGTCAATCATCTTATGAGCAAAGGTGTTGCTCTCCAATCCATCTGCGTCATCATCTCTTATAGGGAGCAATTCCGTCATCTTTACGAGACTCCTGACCGCCCATGGAAATCGCAACGATAGACTCTGTTCAGGGTCGAGGACGGGACGTCGTCATTCCACTTACCACTAGAATAGCCGTGGATTTGGAAACGACTCTCTTTCCACGTCAAAGGAACGTCGCCATCTCCCGTTGTAGGCACAATCAATTTATTCTAGGCCATGCGACCAACATCCGAAAAGTCCCCTTCTGGAAAAGGGTCATTTAATGGGCGAAATCCATCAATTCTGTTGTAACGCTGCCACAACTCCAGCGCTACCTCTAGGCAATAATCAAGGTTAGTATTCCTCTGTTCCCTTCTTTTTTCCTCTTTTTTCTCCCTCAACCTTTCTTTTAAGTCCACGGACTTGAAGGAAATGGGGAAGGTGTAATAGCGGCGCTTTTGCGCTGCTCAGCTTACTCTCCACTATACCTACAGTGCTGAATCATCCCGTTTAAGGGCGAAGACGTACGGTGTGCGAAGAGCTTGAATGGCACGGCATGGGAAGAGCATTTACGGTGTACATCAACGTCAAGCGGACTTTCTTCTCTGGGGCGGTCCCCGCCAACCACACACCATCCTCAAATCTATCACGATCCTATCCTCTTATTTTGCATATATTTCCGTCTCTTTGCTTGTTAATAAATCCTTTTCACTTCAATGTAGTACTGCCATTGTGGTACTAACCAGCTGCTTCTGCTGGCTGACGCTTACTCCTTGACCTTTTTGCGTGACAATGACTTAAACGAAAAACCTCACATGCTTCATCTCTATACAAGCCACGATAACTACTGACTGACGTCCGAGCTTGCGAAGCGATGCAAAGAAGCGATAAAAGACGATTAGGCGGGGTTCATAGTGATCCAGAAGTCGCGGAACAGTCCCAGCACAGTCCTCGCACTGTGCTGGGACTGTTCCGCGACCGAAACTGTGACGAAACTGTGCTGCATGCGCTGCAGTCACCCGCGCCCGATTTTAAAGGCCGGAAGTGTATTTACGATTAGACTAAATGATATCTACTTTCACACCATCATATTATGAAGGGAGACAGCTACTATGTCGTCGAAGGTATTCATATTGGTTTTCGAAAACGTACGGGGACATTAAAATGGGACGAAGTGAGAGCGAAAGATGGCGGCCGGCAACTACATCACCTTCGCATTGCTGTGACATCGTATTGATAACATCAAGCATCACGCAGAAAGCGAATGCTGGCCGAGTGACAATGTGTATGGAAAGATCGGTCGTCGGCCGAACCGACAGAGGAACAGAAAAGTGCCTGATGCACCCCTCATGGTCAAGGGAACGAACATTGCCGAATGATCATGCTATATACCTAAATATACAAATCGGAGAATCAATGCGATGAACCAACTAGCTCTGGAAATGAGCGGGGGGGGGACATGCTGACTGGAAAGATATGAGACAACTGAGGACATAGTAAGGGAGACCAAGAACATGCGATGCGCCCACCTCTCCAACTCGTGGTTTTTCCTGTTTTCGAGGCCCTTCAAAAACATAAACGATGAGGAAGCAAGATAGAATGAGGAGTTCCCTACTTCAACAAAAGAAGATCAGGGACGCTGCTGCATACGCCAAACACCAAACAAGGTAAGATGGGCCGGACACATGATGCGTTTTGAAGACATTGGTGGACGGGAATTGTCAAACGCGAACGAGGATGACCGGACGCGTTGGTCAGATATGTTCGCGAAGTCCTCTAACAAATACTCCAAGGCTCGGTGTTTCCGGTGCGATACATAAATAGTAAATAAAGGTATCGGTGGTACCCGCTTGCGCAATACGACAATGAAGGGATACACGTAGAACAAGTGATCCTTTTACACTCGAAAGTGTGGATTTTTGAAATCTGGCTTCAGTCTGCGCGTCGTTAAGGTTTTTTTATAACGACACTGCCATAGGTTTCTCACAGCTAATAAGGTTTGAAAATACGTTTAGGAGAGGGCACAAAAAGTGTATACTTACGATGCCTAAAAGTGTTGTAAGTCTTCTTCTGATATAGACTTACACATATATGTAACTTTTGATTCAGCAGGATTGGCGGCTGGAAGGCGAGGCTTTGAGGCTCAACCAAGGCTCAGGGAATGATCAGAGAGCATGCTCGCGAGAGAGACGCAGGCTGCCTCGGGTGTGAGCGGTCGCCTTCCAGCTCAATTGCATCAAAGGCTATATAATCACGTAAATTTTGAAACTGTCATCTCCTATGATTCGCAAATCTTCACGCACCTTCACCTTCGTTGGCAGCCATTTTGGATCGCCATTCAGTACAGGGATGGTTCCGTAACCTTCAACAAAGAAGTTCGTGTTGCACGTTACTGGTACTGTTACTGATATTTCGCCGGCACGCGGCCGTGCTGGATATGCTGAAATAATCTGTCAGTAATGTTTGCCATCATGACATCTGGGGCCGTATGTAAGCCCGTTCGGGTAAGGCCTCGGGCAAAGTCCACGCGATTTCATCGTCGTGGTTGATCGCGACAAGACAACTGTTACAATATCATTGCATGCCGATCTTCTTGCATTTCGGTTGTGATAGTTTACCAACACGACTAGTCGTGACTAACCATCACAACCGCAATACAAGAAGATCGGCATGCAATGAACTCGTGACACTTGTCTGTAGCAATTGAATCGCGACGACCAAATCGCGTGAACCCTGCCCGAGGCCTAAGCCTCACTCAGATTGTACCTAATCAGTCGCGGGCGCTCACGCCCGCGATGCGTAACGCGGTCCTCTAAACGTGCAAGAGCCTGGCAAGGCAAGATTGAGGTCAGCAACATGTGCTAAACCATCTATAGGCGCGGTAAGACCTAATTACCCGCGCCGTGCCTTGAACACCAGCGTAAGCGAGCGGTCGTCGCGAACGAATTTCGGCGTTCACTATATTTCGAAAAATTTTTCTTTAACTTTCATGTTGTTCTCGTCAATGCAAGGCATATCTTGAAGCTTCCTTCAAAAGCTTGGCGCTCATTATCACTCGCAAAAAGCCTGTAGCGCTTCGGGACCAAACGTTTCCAGCCGCGCCGCGCATTGGTTTTCAAAGCGACGCGTGGGCAATTGGATTTTACGGAGCCTGTAGCTTGATTACTAAATTATGTGAAACAAGGTGCTTGGAGATATTATAGATCGAATTCACTGACTTGTACGATAACATTTGTAAATTGTTCTTTTGCACGAGCTCCATTCAAAAGATCGGGCATTGCTACCCGTCCGGTTGAGCGCCCTTGACGCATAGGCCGCTTCAAAGTACCCTTCAACAGACAAGCATAATTGGCATCAGCGTTCTAAGCTGATTTCAAATTTGTGTGTTTGTTCCAGAAGACCAGCATAAGTGTAATCCGTGGTCTGTTTGAGAGATTCTTACACACCGCTCCTACTGGTCTGTAGTCGGTATCTTCCGCTGCGCACGCGAGTCGTGAAATTGCGCCTACGGTTTGGGTGTTTTCAGAAGATGAAACGCATGCCACGTGAGGACGGAACATCTGAGTTTGTGGGAAAACAAATACCAACTCAAAAATTGACACCCTTGCTAGGTTTTGCTTGATAGCGCGATTATCTCAGTGGTGAGCTTGGCTACTGGACTCGTAGTCCTTCTATTCTGAGCCGAGGAATTTACTGTGAATTGGTTGTTCAATAAAACTTACCACAGTAGTCGCAATATATGACCCGCTCCCTGTGGCGCAACCGCTCGCTCATAGCGGAGCTTGTGACCAGTAGTATTGCTAGCAAGACGCGAATGAACCCCCAGGGAACACACAGTCATTTTCTTGACTGTTTACACTACGTCCTTTATCATACCAGTCATTAACTTCAGGCCTTAACAAACAGTGGTGGTTTCAATAAATTTTGAGCATGTTTCTTCCAAAAGTTCAATACTTGCGCAGTCCAACAACGTGACGGTGAAGAGCTTTAAGCAAAAAATTTCTTCTGAAGTTTGCTCAAACGAGATTTTTGGCCTGAGACTGAAACGATGGGTGGAGCAATTTCTCTGCCTTTACATCCTTTACATTTGGGTCGGCATTTGGATGACCCCCTTCACCTAATGATGAGACTAGAAAGGCATAAGGCAGAATAAAACACCTACCAAATGCTGAACATTCGCTGTTGCTTCTTCTCAATCAGTGATTACATGACTGCACTTTTACAGCATTTGCTGAGAAAAGCGCAAGCTCTAGACTTCCTATCTCACTCAGAGTTGCTTAGTTTTAAAACGAAATAAGTCTGAAAAGTTAGAAGATCTCTAATTCTCTTAAATACTTTTCTTTTCGTTGGCAACATTCTTCAATGAATGCACATTGCCGCATCGAAGAATTTGGCAAGAGTAGGAAGTCTGGTCTGTTAATGTGGATCCCACGTTCACTGACTAGAATCGAACTATATCTTCTTTCATTGGAGGGCGTAATAGAAGATAAATGAGCATTTAGATTCCGTAACTTCAAAGCCTTTCCATTCACATTGGGAGCTTCGAAAAATACAGATGCATAAAATGATTCACAAAATTAGCTGATACTAGCCGGCATGCCCGGCTTCGCCCGCATCGAGGAATCAACCGGCTCAACAAGAGCAAGATTGGCGCACAACTTTCCAAGCTCAACTCCTAATGTTTGGCTTTCTTTTACGTGCAACACAGGGTACTAATCACACAGCCTTGAACTACTGCATCTCACTCATCGTGGAATAAAAATGAGTTCTACCGCTATTGTTTTACACGAAAGTTGAATGTGGTTTGATAGTATTGATAAGAGTTCATTTTTCCTCAAATCGATAAATCAATAGAAGAAGCGGGAATTTCGCGTCGAAAAGTAGCCTACAGGGTGGACCGGCGTCGAAGATATATCTGTGCGAAGTTTCGCGCCAGCTGGTCTATACACAAAAGAACACACTAACTAATAATTTACCAACACTCAGCTTTATATATTTACCAGTGCTTCAGCTCTACTTCGCAGAGGTTCGCACTGGCCATCATGAAAAGTATAGGTAAACTTGCATAATGATTTTGGCGTTCATCATTCTTTGATGAAGGAGACCGCAAAGTAATTACAAAAATGAACTTTACTTGCTTTGCAACTCTTGCATGCATTTAAGCAATGTAAATCATTCTCACTGCAATTTCGTAACAGACAGACTTACAGACCGACAAATTAGCGGCTTATTATATTACCAGTGCTTCACCTCTGCTTCGCAGAGGCTCGCACTGGCTCCTCTATCTACATGCTTTCCTCTTGCTCACATGATGTTCACTCTGAAACACATTATGCGATGCTGACCATCATGAACGAATTGTAAACAACTACTCATTCCATGAGCTTTTTCATGTAGGAGCGGTAAATTGGGAAGAGAAAATTCTTGTATAGAAGATTAATAGTGAATTTCGATTAATTACTGAAGTTATTATTGACGGGTAGTTTCCACAAAGGACAGTCACTTTTGTCCCCTACATTTCTGGGCAGAAATCCTCGCAATTATTTAGTTGAAACCTTGACAAATTCATGATCTACCAATCACTCCTTCTTGGCGCTAATTTTGCTTAAAAATAGATATTTGCTCACTTTTTGTAATTAAGCCTATGGTCTGCACATTTACTTGTTAAGCAAATCCACAAATTCGCAAAAAGTACAATCACGGACTCACATTGGGGGCCAAAGGTCGCGTGGACCCATTTGACGTGCAGTTTTTGAAGGTTCCGATTATCGGACCGGCTTGTGCTTTTGTATTATTTACCTACATGCTAATAGAGTGCTATGACCAAAATTTCAGCTCAGGACCTTGGCTACAACACGCTCCATGAATTTCGTGACACACACACACACACACACACACACACACACACACACACACACACACACACACACACACACACACACACACACACACACACACACACACACACACACACACACACACACACACACACACACACACACACACACACACACACACACACACACACACACACACACACACACACACACACACACACACACACACACACACACACACACACACACACACACACACACACACACACACACACACACACACACACACACACACACACACACACACACACACACACACACACACACACACACACACACACACACACACACACACACACACACACACACACACACACACACACACACACACACACACACACACACACACACACACACACACACACACACACACACACACACACACACACACACACACACACACACACACACACACACACACACACACACACACACACACACACACACACACACACACACACACACACACACACACACACACACACACACACACACACACACACACACACACACACACACACACACACACACACACACACACACACACACACACACACACACACACACACACACACACACACACACACACACACACACACACACACACACACACACACACACACACACACACACACACACACACACACACACACACACACACACACACACACACACACACACACACACACACACACACACACACACACACACACACACACACACACACACACACACACACACACACACACACACACACACACACACACACACACACACACACACACACACACACACACACACACACACACACACACACACACACACACACACACACACACACACACACACACACACACACACACACACACACACACACACACACACACACATACACACACACACACACACACACACACACACACACACACACACACACACACACACACACACAAGCAGACGCTTAGCGCTTTATTGTTAAGTAATGATAGTATATGTATAGATTGTAGCTAGATAACTCCGGCTTCGCAGAATAGCTAGAAGAAAGAGACGATCCACGTCGATTTCTCGCGATTTAACTATCAAATGGTGTACAAATTATTGATCCATAAAGCTTTCCTGCTCCAAAAAAGTTGCTCCGGCGACCCATGAAAGCCAAGCCATTGTGGGGTTGGGGTGGGCAAGCAAATAACAAATTACTCCACCCCATTTTCGAAGAGCCGCAAGTTTTTTCATCTAACAATTTATATACCGTTAGAAAGCTTATAAAGCGGGAATTCAACGAGATCGTCTCTTTTCCCCCTCTACTCGGAGATACATGGCATTTAAGCTGAAAACATGCGTGTTTTTGCAAGAAAATCTCCACGAATGAATCAAAATGCTTAATTGTCCAATTGTGGTGCACTGCAAAACTTTTGCCGTAAACGTAGACAGTCCCTTCCAGGGCTCGGCACGAGCTGGCACCAGGAAAATTTCAAAACGAAGTCCCGTTTGATATTGAAAATTTCGTACGAAGTCCCTTTTGACCTGTTTTGAAAACCCGTCATCATTTTTATATTATGTAAAAAATGTAGTAGTGTTTCCATGCATTTCTGATTTCATGAAAGAACTTTTCACAGCTTTCTGAGCTTTAAGTGGTCGAATCACATCTTGAGAAGCAGAAAAAGCCGATTTTTCACTGCGGAGCGGGCCGAGTGGTTTTCAAATTGCTATAAAACGCTGAAAAGAGAACATTATGAAATTGTTTCTTCTCCGTGCGCATGCACATACCAAATTTGGTGTCATACTATTGCGTTTTGGCTGAAAACAACGCCTTTGTTTGTTGATGGACAGACAGCTTGCCAATGGCATGCCGGTGGCATGCCGGCGGCATTTTTGCGGCAGTTCTCCGCCTTGGCCCCTGTAAAAACGATATCCTCTTTGCTTTCCGCCTTAAAAAGGATATCCAGCTTGACCCGGTGCCAGCTGTGCTGAGCCCTGGTCCCTTCTTTTCTAGCTTTCCCCTTGCTTTCATGAATGGAACAAAGGGATCGTATAGAATCCGCTGGTGTTGCTTTGGATAGAAAAATTTATTTGGGATTCACAGGAGAACTGGCAAAAGAAGACGATTTACACCGATTTTACATATTCCAAGCTTTGGATGGTATGTATTGATGGACATGAAGTCTTCCTGAATCAAAAAAGTCTCTACGAAGCCTTTTAAAGCCGAAACATTGAAAAATTTCTCATAATACACCTTTGCACTTTTCTCCTTCTTTTCATCCCTAGCCCCGCTCGCCGTGTAAGCTAATGTCAGCATTCAGCACAATGCTCACCCCCTTCACTTTTCGAAGGACCGCATGCATTAACATTCCCTCCGGGGAGGGGATCGCGGCTTAGAAGAAAGCTTCATATCCTAAAGCTCCGAACTTCTGATTTTACGCTGTCTACCCACTATATTTGGACCGAATCGAATAATTATTCGAGTATACGAATAAAATATTCGAATAAAATTTATTCGAAATTCGATTACTCGAAAATTCAAAACCTCGAATATATTCGATATTGTTACATAAATTCGAAAATTATCAATTTCGAATTCATTCGCTATTCGGTTATTCGAACACCTTGATTTTCGAAAATATTCAAACATTCAAATTTCTTTTTCAATAGTTATTCGATTATTCGGCATTTTCATGCAATCGAATAACTACATGACAGCATCACATTTCTGAATGCTATATTAGCACATGTCGTTTGTTGTTCATGTTGCCCACTACATTAAGCCCTTCACTGTGCTAGTTCAGTTGAAATTTGCTTGAGCATTCGCCATAGTCGATGCACAGTATTCATTTATTCGAATTTTTTCTCGAATGTATTCGGTTATTCGACAATTTCCATATTTCGAAAATATTCGATATTCATCTATTCGAATTTTTGACTCGAAAATTCGATATTTGGATATTCGAAATCTTTCGTTTTGAAATTATTCGAAGTTCGATTGATCGACATTTTTGATTTTCGAATTTATTCGATTATTCGATTATTCGAAAAAAAATTCGAATATTCCAAAGTATATTACCCCGGTAAGTATTCCTACCGTCCTTCACTACGAACGTATTGAACAGTAGCGAGAAACTATATAAGCCGCATTTTCTAGCTTTTTGTAGGATCCCCTGGTGAATCCCCTGCGGCCGTCCATCTTTTCTTCAAAGTCATTTTTCTTTTTCGAAGTCAACGACAAGCTTCCAAAGTTGTATAGATTTTCTAACCCAGCAATGCTTATTAGATTCCTGGTCACCGAGTCGCGATTGGCTCCCTTAGTCAGTCAACTAATTGCCACCAAAATGAGTGTCTTACAGTCTCCTGCAGCCAGTCAATGTTTTTGGCGGAAATCTCCGCTCCAGCCCGCTTAACTCCAAGGCCGGAAAACGCCATAAAAAGTACTTTTTTGACTTCTCAAGCTCAGTGGGGGGGGCACTTTTCAAGTTAAGCGCACGTAAAAGGCAAGAAAGAACAGAAAGCGACGGTTGCAATTTTCCGGAGCACGGCTTTTGAAGGCAGTGTCCGCGCAAAAATCATTTTGTAGCTTTTTCGCGTACCTGCGCTTATGGATAGGAGGACGAAGTCCGGTCGTGCAGTGCTGTTGTGCAAATGTCTTTTGAGGACGTATAGCCCGCGGGATTGGCGCTCAATGGCAGTGGCGAGGCAAAATTACCCCTGCCAAATTTTGCTCGCTAGATAGTACGTCTTACAAGGTTCCGTAGCCCAAGCTCCATGTCCCATAAGGCGAAAAAGTCGCGTGAAGTATGCCCGGCCCTTAAGGCAACCAAAATCTGACAAAGGCCCATTTCGCCGAGTCCCTGCCTTAAATGGATTCAGCTAACCGTTCACCCCTAGTCACTCGAGAATTAGCCTTGAGACCTTAATTTGCCTGCAAAGGTGCAAAAATGGAGTTTTCCCAAACCACAGTTCTGAATTAGAATGTGCGAAGCCAAGCCAAAATGGAAGCCCGAAGCTTCCCCTATCCAGGGTCTGAGTGCACGCGACATGCGCACCTGCTGTGAAAATGGAAGGAGACGAGGAGTTGCGCACTTTAAGATGATATGTGTCCCATCATATAAGACCACTTCGACCAGACATTTTTTATGGGTAGGTAAGCATCAGGCTGGTCTTACTCTTCCTACGGCGTAAGTCTCCCAAGCTCCCAAGTATTTCCCGCTTTTGATCTGAATTTTTAGCTTCACCCTTGCTTGATAGTGTGGCAGACGACACCATTGTCACACATTGAGATTCTAGGACTCAAAGTTTTACACTGCCCTTGAGAGGCGTCTTGTGGAATCTATCTCACCAGCAGCAATTCAGAAGTTACTGCCAAAAGTCATGCTCCACACTTACGTGCCGCATTGTTTGTCTAACAGCCATACGGAGACCAAATCATGATTCAGCTAATGAGGCACAAAGGTATGTCAAAAACTTCAGCAATCACAACAATATTTGCACAAGATAATGGGTTGCGATATAAAAGTAAGCAAGTAACCTATCAGCTAGCTTTGCGAAATGTATCGTTCAATCTCTGTCGTCTTGTTTTTGGCATTCCTGTCGCCACAGGTAAGTAAATAGAGCATTTGATATCAATCCTACTCATTTGTCTTGTAGAAATTGGCTATCCGGAGTTTCTATAACTGCGCTAAAACAGTTATAGACACAACTAGCAGTAGTGGACTACATAGTGCTATTTTCTGAGTATATATCAATGAAGCAGTCTAAAACAACAAACCAAAATGCGTGTGATTTTGCCGGACATATCCAGTAAGTAAGGAAAAATCCCGAAAGGAGTCAGTCAGAGCTTCGAAATCCTATTTCCTCTTCAGAACTTCACTATGCTTCCGAAGTTTTTCGTTGAAAATTCAGCGCATGAAATACTAACTTTGGCCGCAATTGCCGCTTTTTCATGAACAGGACACATCTGTTTTTTGTCAGATACCTTTCGACAAATATCTGCTTCGCAAGTTCGTGTTCTACTAATCACTGCAGTTTCTTATCTGAATATGTCTTCAGTTGGAAAATGGTACTGGTGATTTGCTGCTGGCTCCAAAACTCTTTCAAGATGCCTTTGAGATAATAAATTGGGGTGGAAGCACTTCTCCTGTCAGAGAATCCACACAACTCACGTTTTGAGAAGAGTGGTTCCCTGTGAAGATAACACCAATCGTTTCCATAGCTGGTGCAGAGGTCCCAAGCTCAATAATCCATGTGTCGTGTGCACTTGTACAAAGAATATTGCGACAAACAATGACTCTACTAAATTTCGTACTGCTTAAGCAAAGAAGCCAAATGATTTCTGGTAACCTACGCCATGGGATTCTACAATCTGACGTGCCTTCGCTTTAGCTCTCTTAGAAATTCTGGGGTTTTCTTCGTATAATTGACACAGAGGACTATATCTAGAGCGTAGGATGACGTCTAGGCTCAAAAGTCAATGTCTTGAATGGGTCAACAATTTATTGGCGTTGCCATTTCCGATTCGTCGGATCTCTGCGCTTTGTGCGCCAGTCTCTATAATATTTATGGAGATTGTGTTATTTCTACGAGCCATTGATTAAGTAAAATTTGCAAAGAATGCGGATGCCTGCGTGTTCTGATAGCGCACGTAAAACATAATAACTTGAGATGTGATTAACGATTTTATTGAGAACTCACGCGATCTGGCATTTATATTTATCACTAAAATTATGATTATACTGATAAATTATCGTTATAAATGATTATCTCAAATTGTTATCATTATAAACGCAACATAATGGATACACAGAAAACATATCAACTGAAAGAAATATACTCGCTATGCATTTTTGACTTGTGCGTGTTGAATTCTAAGCAGGATATGATACTTGGTGACCCCGGCCATTCATGATGGTTTTTATATCAAAAAACGCACCTTTTAATGCTGGTTCTACTGCTGTTTTCCACATCTGCGAAACGAACACCTGGATGGAGTTACAATTTTTTTTCAAGAATGAAAACTACTGCGCAGGGTGAAAATCTTTAATAAAAATCCTTCTTTCCTCTTTAAATGCTGAATATGATTTAGATAGGTATAAATACAACGTTACACCCTTCAAGTTTCTCCTCAATAGCTTGAAATGGTAAAATAGATCAAATTGGGTGACTTCAACTACCTAAAAGCGCAAATTTTCTACGAAAAAAAGTTCATAACTGCCTTCAAATGATCGTTTCGCAGATTTCGAGGACAGATTTAGCATCAGCGTTTCGAGTTGCACCTTACGGTATCGCATTCCAAATAGGCGGGGTCACCAAGTATCATTTCCTTGTAAGACATGGGCAAATAATCAGAATGCGAGGCGATTGAGATCGCGCGAACCATAATCAGGTAGATTTGACGGTAAATGTAGGGACAGTCTATATTACGCGGTAAAATTTGCTCGTGAAAGATACCTATTTGAGATGCCCGGAGGTTGTTGATAAATTTCAACGCATGGCACCGCAAAAGCACTAATTCAATTGTCAGATTGATGCCTGGTGAATTTCCGCTCAATTATAAATAGCCGAGACGCCGACATGCGCCTCGGTATCACTAGGGTACTATATTTACCCTCAGATCTACTCGACCGTATGCCCAGTGCCTTAGGGCCGCATGCACTAACATCCCCGAGGGGAGGGGATCGCAGCTTAAAAGAAAGCTTTATATTTCGAAACTCTAGATACCTGGATTTCACGTTGTGTACCTATTCGTAAGTATTCCTACTACCCTTAACTATTAACATGTTGAAGAGCAGCGAGAAGCTGTACGAACCGCATTTTCCAGCTTTAGTATGATCCCTGATGATCCCTGGCGCTTTTCTTTAAAGTTATTTTTCTTCCTCCGAAGTTAACGAAGAACCTTCAAAGTTGTGCAGATTATCTAAACCGACAGTGCTAAGCATGTTGCTGATAAGAACAAATGATGTTTTGAAGCATGAAATTTTCAATGATCGAAAAAAATTTTCAATGGTCGAAATTTGAGGTTTACCGAAAAATTCGACTTTTCAAATACTCATTTGTTCTCATCAGCAGCATGCTTAGCACTGTTGTGTTAGATGTTCAGTACAACTTTGGAAGGTTTTCGTTAACTTCGGAGAAAGAAAAATGACTTTAAAGAAAAGCGCAGGGGATTACCAGGGATCATACAAAAGCTGTAAAATGCAGTTCGTACAGCTTCTCGCTCGTGTTCAACATGGTCATAGTGAAGGGTAGTAGGAATCTTACGGATAGGTACACAACGTGAAATCCAGGTATCTAGAGTTTCGAAATATAAAGCTTTCTTTTAAGCTGCGATCCCCTCCCCAGCGGGGAGGTTAGTGCATGCGGCCCTTAGAAACAGCCCTAAGGGAGACTACCCTCGAACGAAGTGTGATGACCTCATTTCAGATCTCTGCTTTGTATGGCAATTGTGACTCATGTATATCCTTGCTCAGAGATGTGCAGAAGTCGCTTCCAGGAGTCCTGATATTTACTGAGGCAACGCTTCACGCCACAATTGAAGTTTGTTTCAATTCATCATTTTGCTACTTTGCTGCTAGCGGCCCCTCAAACAACATCCGTAGCATACCGGCGCTATGATTGCCTCGTCAGAAGTTTAGAAAGTACATTTAAATGGCAAGAATGCATCTGATAAGGAAACCCCTCGTGAAGAATGGCTAATATGTACACTAATGAATCGAACGTGCCCTTTCGTCATTCCCTCACAAATCACGTCTCTCAAGTAAAACTCTATTTAGAAGCTGGAGCAAAATGAAAAAGACCTTACAATACTTCAGTGTCGGTTCTACGGGCAATTATGGCAACTTTCGGCATGCAATGTAGTACTGTAAATAATGACACCTAAGGCAAGCGCCATGCTTGATCCGCTTCGTCATTGATCGATTCAGTGAATCGAGCAATAGCGAAGCGGTTCCGCTTGATCCGCTTCATCCACTTCACTATTGCTCAGTTCACTGAATTTACCAATGATGAAGCTGATCAAGCGGACCAAGTGGATTAAGCGGATCAAGTATGGCGCGTGCCTAAGCTGCGCCCGGCGTAACGCCACTCTCGCATTAAATTGGGATTCACTTCGTCCACGACATCTCTGGACCGGCACATACTACTTCGGCCGTACCCCTAACTTTCTGTTCTCATCAAACACGTACCTACATACCATTATGCCACGCACGCCTTTTTAAGAATATATACTCCGAAACAATAACTAAAATACATGATTGCAGGCAGTTTGCGGGAATACCATACTGATGCTGAAGGACATATGTGTCCAGTTTGAAACAGGCATGGTTCATGAACTATTCAAATGGATCAACCAAATGGAGCGAAAGATTGACCCAGCAAGAGAATGTGTTTTCCTACGGTTCTGTCCACAATCCAGCACTCCATCACTTCAAACATCTCGTCATAATTCCACTCCAATTTTGTAGAATGCGTTTCACAATTACAGTTGCATTCAAACTCCATAAATTATCAGAAGAATTTACTATTATGTCTCCAACTTTGCAAGTAGAATGTGGATTATCGTAACCAGAAAATTATAACATTTATCCTAATCAGATGCAAGAAAACCGCAATTTCCTCAAAGAAAATGCATTTTCAACAAGACTCAAATCAACAAACCTAATTCTTACAACTATTACGAGATGCTATACAACTAGAATCCTAACTAGAATACATGCTGTGACTTTAAAGAAAGCTCCTCCATAAAAAAGAACGGATCAATGGAACTTTCAGTCTACTGCTAACCCTCTCCTAAAATGTGACGGCAATCACGGGAGCTGGTAGAAATTCAAGGCCACAGAGGCAGAACACGTAATCAGCGAATATTGACCTATAGAAAAGATATCAGATACAGAAACTGATTCAGAATGAGGGCAGGTGCCAGATATATCCGACTGAACCGTTTCATCCGGTTTACACAATGCGCTATTGGTCAATTCAGTGATTCAACCAATAGCGTTGAGCGATCTGGACGAACCGGTTGAAATGAATAACACTGCACCTACTATACGGAAACTGATTTAACGCCGACGTCTCAATACAACCTAAGCTTTCGAAAGGCGAGGCTTTAGAATATTCACGTATATCCACATAAAGTAGAGAAACAAGGTTCAAAGCCTACTTAACATTGGGAAAAACTGTCATGGATGACCAACCTCACATTGCAGAGATGAATTAAATAACTACCAACTTACACGCAATGTTTTACTCCTTTAGGTTTCAGGAACAAACAAATTTGAAATAGCACGTACCACAAACACGGACGATCGGAGATCCTTTATCCTATCGGCCGGAGATCCGATGAGCTAAACAGAAACATAAGGGAGGAATGATAGGGATATGTAGCAGCTAACATTTTGTCGGAATTTGCAGAGGCATGTCATCCGCCACAGTTACAGCATGGGGTTCATCCCGGAACTTGTATCGTACATGCAGCATTTTTGGTTCACCAGGACAAGGGTCATAGAAACCGGGCAACTGGCTCTGGAAGAAGATGGAAGACATGCTTGCTAAGATACTTCATTCCGAAGTTAACGCACCTTTACAGAAAAGATTCTTAGCTGCGAATCATTAACCATTGCTTGAAGGGGTATGGTGACATCAATAGTTCTATCTCCGGCAACGACATATGATGAGGAACCACTTGATTCAGACTGACCGTATCTGCATATAGAAATATCAATCCAGTAACCATACGTACTAACATGGATTGCATCTTCACGGCTACCAAGCAATGATCAGCTTTGAATGTAAGCGATTAATCGGTTAGCTTACAGACATCCGATATTTAATCGGATGTCGTTAAGAAGAAAAAAGAAGGCTAGGAATGTCATCACTAATCAGACAAATAATAACCTGGCATCAATGATGACTATGCCCAATTTCTGTTCCTCTTCGCGACGTATACGATCTGCCGTAGGACGCATCAAATTGATCACTCGTACAGCCTCTTCTTGTTTGACGGTATCCACCTGAGATATGAACAAAAATCATAAATCCTTGACTCTTCTACAGATCAGTGTACACGTAAATGAAAATTCAGGCCCGTATGCACGTAAATCCACACTGGGGAGAAGAGGTGAGCTGAGAGGGGACATGTCGTATCTTGCTGTTCTGAATATCTGTATTCTTTTTAACTATGTCAAGGTTTGAGAGCCGTCATAAGTTAGAAAGACGAAGGGAATTACAAATTTCGAGAGCAGCGAAATGTGGAGTCCTTTTTCAGCTCCCCTCCCCTTACAGCGAGAATGTACATGCATACGGGCTTCAATAACACTGTGATATAAACATAGATAGTGTAAGTATGACAATGATGACTATGAACCTCACGGTCGCGGCTGTGATCGTCAAACAATGAGGAAAACCTTTCTGCCCATTTCCGAAATATAACCTGGAATTGTTTTCTACGGAATTATGGAGATTCATGGAATGTAGCATACTTTCGTTGCTAGCTGGAAAAGAACTACAGGAACCACAACACCGTAGATAGTGCTCCTAGCCAAGGCGTCCCGATCATCACATAAAACTACCTGCCATTCGAACGAAGATTGTCCAGTTTTGAGTCTAAAATGAAGCAACTCGCAAGATGCTAGAAGTCTATAAATGCGGAACTGATGGATCAAACTGATAACGATCACTCTAGGCTGCCATGTAAGGCCCCGATACTTCACGCGATTTCAGTCGCGATGCGACTGACAATACTCGACTTATCTATAACGTCGTGAACGCAGTCTGAATGCACAAAACCTGCTATGCAATTGTAGTCTACCAGTGTAGGATTCCAAGGCATCTGACAAATTACCAGACCGCATGACGAATGAAATCGCGCGAAGTATGCATGGGCCTAATCAATAAGGCTGTGTTCATGTTGATCCGTAAGTTCCGGAACAGTCCCAGCACAGCGCTCGAACAGCTTACGGATCAGTATGAACCCAGCCTAAGATGAGCAGCTCAGAAGTCAACTTCAAAGTCACGTGACATGTAACGGAAGCACCCGACTTACTTGAACTTCGCTGTCATCATACATGAAGGAAAGGAAAAATGAAGGGCACATCCGATGCGCGAAAACCGCGACAAACGTCGTTCAAAATGAATTGAAGGTGAAATGCCTGGTAGAACATTAGATAGAACTGCACAGAAAGTTGTGTATTGCATAAAACAAACCAAACATTGATATCTGGACAGCGGTTTCGGTAAAAGCATCTTGCTCTGGGTTGCGGAAATAGTACGCCAGGCGTATATTAGAATTCGAGGGTGACAACTAACGAAAACTCAATAACTGTCTGAAGCAGGAAAAAATAAGGTAATCACTAACTGTGAAATTGGCAACTGCTTTGGGCTGATTATTCTCTGTGTGCACAAGTGTAGTAGTGATTGCACTTTGAATAGGAGTGAGATTCAGTATGATGCTACCCTGCCACCGCACACGTAGTCTCATGGAGTAAACTAGAAATGTGAGTTAGTCAAAAGAGGAAAAGATTATAATCAAGACACAAGTAAGAATAAGATATAGGAGTCAATAAATCCTACCCACTTAAAGTTAGTGCTGGTGCAAAGGCTTCTTGCAATGGAAAATATTGTATAGATGGTTGAACTATTATGGCTGCACGAGTGTATAGATTTCGAGCTATCCTGCAGGTCAGATTTAACGCGTCACTAGAGGCGGTCAACATATTCTGCAAGAAAATCAGCACATTCTGTTGGATAAGAGAAAAAAAGACAAAGAAGAGATTCTAGAAGGTAAAACAAAGCGGAAACAGCATATTTGTGTTACAAACCTCGACATGATATTGTCCTGCGCTCTTTCGCCAAACAGCAGTCACATTCCCATCTCCACGACCATTTGCTGACTTAACTCTACCCGTGAGGCCGACTCGATCATCAGCGGTCATTGCGCAATCAACTGACTGTGAAATTGCAATCCCAATAAGCTGCGGTGGATACCTAGAAGACGGTACAGATGTTCTAAAAATTGGAAGACAGGATTCTATGTACTTCTACCACGATATCACCCGACAACATCGACAGAGGAAAATAAAAGAAAAAATATACGAACTTGTGTACCTATCATCTGGATCCTCTTGGAACATACCCGCTACCGAAGTTTTAACGATGAAACCGCTCTGAAACAAGTGAGTATAGCAAGATTTTCCTTGCGCTAGCAATACTTACGGATGGATGTACTCTTTGCAGCATCAACTCTTGTTCTTTCAAGCGCTGGAGGAACTCATACTCTCTCCTGATATTCTCTGGATTTGCTGATCTTGAAACGAGCTCCCAACCTTGTGTGTCAAGGCCTTGCACGCCAAGGGCATCATAGATGGCACGTTGTTTAGGATCCATCAAAGCTAGAATGGAGTTCCTCAGATAAGACAGCGAATGTTAGAAACCAACTAACTTTCATGAGCGCGGCGTAGCTGCACAAAAATCTTCTCTGCTTCCTTTTTCTGCTCTTCATCATTATGACGGTCAGGATGGAAAATAAGGCAGCGTCTACGGTACGCCTTATTTATCTCATCTTCTGAGGCCTAAGATAAAAAGGTAAAACAATGGTTGGTATAGCAACTGCAAACCTAACCCGTCATGTGACTTGTTCGACTATAAGTAAAGAAACAAAAGATATCGCAGGTGCGACTGTTTCACACTATTCTCGCGATTCTCGCTTGATTAGCGACTGAGATTTTCGCTGAAGTGCAAGATCTAAGCGACGTTGAAAGAAGCTTCATAACCCATTAATAAGCAAACCAGGGCCGCTGCGCAGAAACTCAAAGGTAATGTCTCGGCAAGACTTCGTTTTCTAGTTTTTTCATCGTTTCAGAGCCTTTTCGTCAAGAGAAATCCATATCTGGGCTTTTCAGCGCCAGAACGATGGAGACGGAGCGCACAAGACTTCCGACATATCTTCACTGAGTTTAAAGAAAAACTTCGGAAAAAGCGTTCTCGCCATTTCCATGCGCTAAAAAGCCAGATATGGCTTCCTCATGGCGAAAAGTCTACGAAAAGGTAAAACGAAAGGGTGAAAACAAAATTCTGCGGGACGCTGTCTTCAGATTACAAGGATCACATACAATGAATCACAAGTACGATAAATCCACTGCTTGAAGTAGTATATATGAAAATGAATGCCTATATAGACTAGAGGGATGAGGTACAACTTGAATGTTATTCGACTAATTAATGTAAAGTCGTTGAGCATTCGCAAAGCAGCATAAACGGTTCTCAGTTAGCGACGCACGTGATAAGCATGACTTTTAGCACTATATTTGAAACTAGACAAAGATGAACTAACACGAAGGTGTACACAGGCGCCAGATCTCGCTCGAAAGTGCACGAAAGCGCTCAAATTCTCTCACTCCTCTTCACATTTTTCTCACTTCTCACATTACGGCTAGCCTAAAGGCGCTAGCACGCTGCGGAACATGTGTGAAGAGGTGAAAATTTTAAGTGAGACTGGAAAACTGTGGGCGCTTTTGGGCACTTTTAAGCTAAGTCTGCCCAGTCCTAATTATTGCGGCCCATGTGACTTCTTTGAAACATAGACATGCAAGAAAAAGATGTAAAAAAATAGTCGAAAGAAAGTATCAAAGCCGGATACCCACGTTTTTTGGCACATTCAGTATTGCGTAGAAATCTATTTCTTCCTCATCATCGAACAGAAGATCCTGATCCTGGTCCCCACACAATGAGCTCCCGGATGAAACCGACATGCTGAAATTTGATTCCAATTTGTGCTGGTAAACGGAAAACAGTAAGTGATTTCAGAAACTGCGCATCGTGGAGTCTTCAAAAACCCCTCCAGAGATACGGTAGAACAAGTTCCATACTTCTCGAGGAGATGCAACAAAGATTAAGATGCAACACACCTACTGTCGAATCAAAGAAAAAACGTTCCGCAGATTAGAATGGAAGTTTCATACATTTATCACTAACTTCAGCAACATATACTTCTCTCGAATCTTCGACTAAGGAGGCATCCCTTGTAAACACATGGTAAAGAAAGTCGCCAATGAGATGTGAAACAAGTAAGCAATTGAAAAAAAGACGTAACGATGCGATCACCGGCCATGTGGATGAGTGCTCGTTCTGTTAAGCTGTATCCAGAACCGCATGGTTTAATGTGTGCACACATGTTGGCCTACAGTCCCTTCGGAACTTCATAAAAAAATACTCAGGCAAAGCATCTCCTCAGATTTACAAAGGCGAAAGGAGTGTGACTTGAAGATGAAGCCAAAAAGAAAACTCGGGGCACGAGAAGACCTGACCCACGCACTCGTGAGAAGCAGTGTTGCAAGTATAACAAGCGAGCACACATCTCGACTCTCACAAATCATTTTAATGAGCAACCTCCTCAGATTTGGAGATGAGATGACTGCTCAAAATCCACACGATTTTCGGTGATGTAAGAACTATATGTCGTAAAGTGTAGTGCAGCCTGTGTTATGTAACATATTACTTTTGATACGCCTAAACAAACTTGATGCAAGCCGTGAGGTATATACCTATATCTCGAGCGAGGCGCGTAAGGATTCAATTGTTGGTTGATAGTTCTTTCTGCACCTCGCTTGGGTAAAATATGTTGTTTATAAGTTGATGTGCGCTATTCCACATTAGTTGACCCAAAAGATGATAATCGTGAATTTCATTAATACTCTAGGGGGTTATTTGGTGTGCTGAACCCGAGTATGATGTTCATTTCGTGCGGCAGTGCCATCTGGCGGAGTTACGATAGGATTACGGTAGGGGTCAAAATCACAAATCGGCAAATGTATCCTTCCCCTGTGCTTTGCTTAGGCAAAAGCCGCAGCAGTGTGTGTAGCGCGTGGGGGTGGTCGTGTGTGCAAAGCTGCACGATCGTCCGAATCGCCGTACATCGGTTTCAGGAGAAATACGTTTTACACCCGTTACCGTCTAGCTACCGTAACCCGAGAAAATGACGCTTTCTACACCCGTTATCGTGTAGCTACCGTAACCCGAGAAAATGACGCTAAGGTTCAAAATCAATGTGATATTTGGCTTCAGCAGGCCGAATAACCCCTCTGGGCCAAGTTTCGGGCAAATCCGTGGTTTTGACCCTCTACCGTAGTCCTATCGTAACTCCACCGGATGGCGCTGTCGCACGAAATAAACATTATATTCGGGTTCAGCATACCAAATAACCCCCCCCCCAGACGAAATTTAGCGAAAATCACAATTTTCATTTTTTGGGTCAACTAATGTGGAATAGTACTCGTTGATGAATCACCTTCCTGAATACGTGCAGAAAATTGAAAAAGATTTCTGTCATTGAAAGAAAAAACCCGAGGCGAAAAATCCATCTCGACATCTTTTTTCTCTGAATTTTCCGGTTTTCCGTTGGTAAAATTCATTTGACAAGCTTCACAACAGACAAAACAACCTACTAGACTGTTATGTCGTACTGTAAACTGTTTCTGCTTTCACATCTCGAGAAAACTGGCGAAAGCAAATTTCTTTTCTTGCGTACGTCTAGGGCGTCTAGGGCGGCGGGCGGTTTGGAGGGGTCGATTGCCAAGAAGAGATAAAAGGCACCGTCCTCCCAAAATGGAGGTTGGCGCGATTATGATGGCATAGTAGTGTGGGCCCCTACACTAGGCAAACCCCCAAGCTTCGCCGCAAAGGACTGCTTCTGGAGCGAGAAGTCCGCTCCGGAAGTAGCAAAGTAGGAGGGGCGCCCATGGTCGCCCCGCCCACTTGCATGCTTTATCTCACCTGCGCTTGTTGCAGAGGGTTCTCGAAACAGGGATTTTTGGGGGTTTCGCGAATATTCGACTCCATATTCGGAATCAGGGCTTTCAGAAGACCTGAAGGCGCAAAAACATCAAAATCGAGATTTTGGGTGAACGGTGCCTTTAACAGGAAGAGTAGTTCGAACCAAAAGTTTTGTTTCTCTAATTTCAAAATGGCATCAAAGCCGCCTACGATCCACAATCATTCCTGCTTGGAAGAGCAGAGTGGTACAAAGTTTTTTGTTACGTGTAGTTTGCTGCACGAACAGCGATGACAATCTTTATTGTCAATTGAAGAATGTTTATTTGTCTTCATTTTTAAGTACTGGTAGGATCAGCTCAGCGATAGATGTAGTTACGAACAAAGTTAATGATGCCGCTGTGAGGAGTTACCTGAAAAAAAGATTGTATGCTACATCGTTCAGCAGTCAATTGCAATCCTCAAATTTTTCTCTCATAATATAAAATAGTACCCTTAACGGACGAAGATTTGCAAACTTCTATATCTCAGTGTATCTTACAATTAATATTTTGTTCCTGCGTTGCTGGCAGCATCTGTGCGTAAAAAAGGCAATGTGTCTATGACCAGTTCCGCGCAAATCTTCTACCCTAATATTACGAATAGAACCTTTTTTTCTGAACTCAAGCAAAATGATCACTCAAAAAATTTGAGACAAATTCTCTATCGTGTTGGTCCTTACAGAAAAGAATTGTGCGGGGAATTCACCATTTCGACAGGCACAGTAGCGTAGCCGAGCTGGTTTTTTTTTTGAGAAAATGAAAAAGGTGCTTATCTCGTCTTATACTCGTAAAATTAGGGTACACGTTGTCGGCATGCACATGTATGGCACTAGTTTTCGCTCTATGGCCCTCATCGCAAAGATACTACATTAACCTTTAATATCTAGGCAATAGATTGTGCAAGTAAATTAAGACGGAATAAAAATTTTTCCTTACTTCATAATGAATCAGCTTTGCGTTCTCTTATCATAGCGTTTCTTCTTCATGGAAACCATAAATTTATGCAAATTTTACTTTCAAGAATCTGGTTTTGTGGGTTTTATCACAAAGTTTGGTTAACGCCACGTCAACCGAAATTTGCAAAATTCTGCAAAGTTCTGGTTCCTATAGGCGTTCATTCATCCAATTTTTGACTCGACAGATAGCACGGAATTTTTTCTAGCACATCAACGTCAGCAGGCTTACATGAGAATAACAATTTCCTTCCAAACGCGAGAAAAAGGAGAAATCAACGAAACGATTAGTGATTTGATTACCTTTTGTAGTGCGGATTCATCCTTGACATCCGATGGCATCCGCAAAGTTTCGGTCTTCGTCTGGAATATGTGGTACACATATCATCAGGTGAAAATATTTCACAACGCTTACATCAATCGAAATTCTTCTGTTAATCAAAGCTGCTTTCCTCAGTCTCCTCCTTGATCTTCTAGCTGCAAATTTACAATTAGTTACTTACAGTTGTCCAGTGTATTGAAAGAAAACGGAGATTGTTGACCGCTGATAAAAGAATGAGTTAGAATCAATACTATGTTTTGTATTATCGTCATCTTCTGCTGTTTGCATCACCGACTGCATCACTGACTCCACTTTCTTCTCCGGACTGGGGCCATATATCGAGATTGGTCTCTAGAAGTTTTGTTCAGTTGATTGGAAATGTATACTGAACAAATCTCGGTGATAAGGTTTCTACATAGGAATGACGAATTAAAAAACCCTCATACTTTAGCATTGTATGTATGGGTGATGTGCTTCTATTAAGTGAACTGAAAATTGTATCAAACTAATTGTTGACTATGTCTATTTTTCCCTCCTTGTGACCAAGAAAGTGGTATTGAAAGTTCTCTTCACAAGTAAAGTTTGCACACAATATCGGCTGTGTTTGCTGTGCTCTTCCCAGCCCTCATTTTTTTAACGGTAGAATCATCGCTCTCTGCGGCAATGTATTTCAACCGAAAATAACAGAGACTATCTGCTCCTCAAAGTTTCTGCTATGAAAGAGAGAACTTGACGAGCAGTCGGCTAAGGAGGCTTCATACAAATGCGATTGCTCTCCCTTCGTGGTTTCGAAAAACAAAAGAACAGCCTTCAGATAATCTGAGGTGCGAACACTTCAAGTGCCACATATTTTGCCACGAAATTAAGGAAGGATTCCGGACAAGTGGGCTTATATCAAAGAACTAATCGTAAGATTCAACACTTCTCGCAGAAAGTGTCATAAATGACCTCTGCGAAGATCGGATCGAGCAGAAGACATGTCAAAGATGACCGAAGAGATTGTGACTTTCATTCCCAGTGTAGAACGGTCGAAGTAATATTAGGTTGGCACGAAAGTTCTTGCGTAATTCAAACAAAATTCAATAACTTCATAAAGGCTAAACCTAAAGTCACAATTTTGTGTGCTAAGAATATTAGAAGTCTTACGCTTCATGATGGATGTTTAATCATAAGATTCCTTTGGCTTAACATCAAAAACAAAGCTCTCGAATATGGGGCTTCAAATTTTGCGATTTTGAGTTTGGTACCAGAAAATCGCAGAGTGCCGCTAGCTAGCCGAAAAAATCTGTAGAATTTACTTACACAGCAAAAGTCCATATGTTACTTTGGAAGGCTTTGATCTTGCACGGTGAAACAAAAACAAAGAATTCGTGAAATATGTCATTTTGCGGAAAAAATCCTCCGCAGTTTTTCGGCAAAAACACTTTTTTACACTCGAGAAAACATCGCATGGCTCTAAATAGGCACCATGTCTAATTTCTGGTTACAAACTGTGTTTCCGTGGAAAAATTACAGCGATAAGGGGATTAGTCCTATGAAATGAGAAATTTTACAAATTTTTTGTTTTCGCATTTCATGCGAGATCAAAGCCTGCTAAAATAACGTATAGACTTTTGCTGTGTAAGTAAGTTCTACAGGTTTTTTTCAGCTAGCTAACGGCCCTCTGCGATTTTCTGGCACCAAACTCAAATCACAAAATTTGAAGCCCCATATTTGAGAGTTTCGTTCTCGATGGCTAGCTTATAGAATCTTGCGCTTGAACATCCATCATGAAGCGTATAACCTCTAATATTTTTAGCATACAAAATTGTGAATTTAGGTTTAGTCTTTGTAAAGTTATTGATTTTGTTTGAATTACGCAAGAACTTTCGTGGCAGCCTAATATAATGATGTGACTGTGACTGTTTTCTGGATGGCTTGTTGATAGAAGAAGAATAGCTGTCGAGATTGAAGATTACTGCTGGGACCCAGGCCGCGGTGAATTTATGTAAAATTGAAATTATAGTTTTCATGTGAGCTCCTTATATAAAAATGCACGAGTTGGTCACTCACTGTCAGTCGAATTCAGATTAAACGCAATGATTTAAAATGTTGCTACCAAATGCACAAACAAAGTTAAAACTCACAAATTTTTTGTGGAGAATCTTATGTCTCATTGCTTCGCGACACCCAATTTCTGTTGCATCGTCCCCCATTTCCTCTTCGTTTGGAAGGCGCTAAATTATATCATGTCAATCGGCCTACAGACAATGAAGTTTTAGCTTTTTGGAGGGTAATGGGAATATTCTACTCTTCTATTAAAGAATCGGCAAGCTGCGATTTTTTGGCACGACTGTTTTTGTGTGTGATCATTTCAAACCCTTTGACGTACAATTAAAAATGGTGGTTAGGCACTATTCAACGTTAACTTATTTCTTCAACGGGCATTATTCAAAGTTGACTTTTTTGAATGTCCTATATCAGGTAATGGCAGATGTTTAACTTTGTCTCAGAGCTCCTCTTTTCGATACTCCTACTATAAATGGAATACTTCACCTTGAATCGTATAACCCACCTGTATCGCAAAACAACTCGGATTTGGACTACTCCTCAAGTTGCTGGGTCTTTCCACAAGAAAGGAGCATTTCTGCTCTCTTGCCATAACTCGATTGAACTGCATTCGCACAAATTTCAGATCAGTTCCGGGGGTTATCTGCAAATTTGCTCAAATATTATACTCTAGCAACAACAGCAACAGCAACATGTATGCCAGAGTTTTGCGAATCTATGGTGTGGTCATGCCTTTCCTGCCCCGTGTTTGAAAACACTGTAAAGTGGTCGAGAACTTTTGGCCAGAGAGCGCTGTGTATAACTCGTCAAATCCGGCCCAGGCTCCTGATCGGGTTCTTGTCTGGGCGTGTGAGTCGTTTTCGCTGAAGCTTCCGAGCGCGATCTCATCAGTTTTGTCTCGCGCGGCGCCGAAAACGTGATAAGGTATGGTCCTCTAAAATTGTTCCCACATGAACCATCGATGAGGCTGCTCTCGATCATCTTAACATGTCAACTTCGAATAAGCGCATTAAATTTGTTGAGGTTAACATATTAAAACGATAGGCAGCCACGTTGATGGTTCATATGGGAGGAATTCTGGGGATGCACGATACATCACATGTCAAAGGAAAAGTGTCATGTCTTGCGTTGAGGTATACTCGTGCCAAACATTCGCGCTGGTGATGCACAAGAACTCACTCAAAGATCCTGATTAGCAGAGGTGGGTACGCCAACAACGCGCGCTGTCGCATTTTATTAGAACCCATGCGGGGTAAACCCAGCATGCTTGCTAATGCATGGAAGAATTTCATTTTTCTCCGATCCTTCTCGCATGATGCGGGTCCGCATTGTTGTAAACAAAGACTTTATCGTTAACTTCCAATGATAGTTGACCGAGACTCGAAACCGTAGTCGCTAGTCTTTTGCCTAGTTTTCGGCACGCTCATAACGAATATCGTATCAATTTTGCGCTGTTGAGGTTCATCCTTTTTCGCGCAGTCGAAGGCGGTGCCGGGCCCGGCCACTCAGATTCTCCATTTCTATTTTTGCTCTTTCCGCGGCCTTCTCATGTCTCTAATTCCAAATATAAAGTCGAGAATCCGCGAAAACTTCGACGATCCCCTTTTCCATGTCCGCAAGCCGGTTCTCTGGAACAATGATTGGATGGGCGGGCACGGTTGGGCGGGCATCAGTGAAGGAAGGCGGTGTGGACTTGGGTCCTCATGTTTCAATGATGGCGATAAATTGCAGTATCGATGAACAAAAAGATTTGTTCAGGTTTCCGAGACTGGTGTTAAGGTGGATTGATACTAATCTCCAGTTTTGCTATACGTGATTCATGCGATAAATATGGTGTGAAAGTCTGCATATAAGTAAGCATTGTCTCCTCATGTTACTTCAAAATGTTGTTGTGCCATACCGAAATCTGAAAAAAGGGGGAGGGGAGCTACAAGGCTAATACAAATTTTTGAAAAATTTTGAAAATTGCTCTAATTATTAGATTGATGCAGAAATAATGGCCGTTTTGCGAATTTTCAATTTGACGTGTTACAACTTTCTGAAAAATTTACTTTTTGAATGCGATAAGGACCGTCAGTAGCAGCAAGACTTTTTCAACATGGCGCATAATCATTTATACCAGGGCTCGGCACGAGCTGGCACCAGGGAAATTCTAAAACGAAGTCCCGTTTGATATTGAAAATTTCGTACGAAGTACCCTTTGACCTGCTTTGAAAACCCGTCATTATTTTTATATTATGTAAAAGTATGTAGTGTTTTCAAGCATGCTGATTTCATGGAACAACTTTTCACAGCTTTCTGAGCTTTTGAATGGTCGAATCACATCTTGAGAAGCAGAAAAAGGCGATTTTTCGACTGCGGAGCAGACCGAGTAGTTTTCAGAGTGCTATAAAACGCTGAAAAGAAAACATTATGAAACTGTTTCTTCTCCGTATGTAATATTTTACAGTGTAGATAAATTTTATGTAAAAAAGTATGAAAACTTATGTGAGCAAAGTGTCGGTGCCAGCTCAGCTGGCACCCAGCTGGCACGGTGCCAGCTAATTCAGAAAAAAGTGGCACAGCTTTCATTCACATAAGTTTTCATAAATTTTTGGGCCATAGTTCGTGTCCACCAACGCGCATGCATACACCAAATTTGGTATCATACTATTGCATTTTGGCTGAAAACAACGCCTCTGTTTGTTGATAAACAGCTTGCCGGTGGCATGCCGGCGGCGTTTTTGCGGCGTTTCTCCGCCTCGGACTCTGTCAAAACGATATCCCCTTTGCTTTCCGCCCTAGAAACGATATCCAGCTTGACCCGGTGCCAGCTGTGCCGAGCCCTGATTTATACTGATATCACAAATGGGCAGAAAATATGGATTTAAAAAAAGTCGTTTTTGCTAAAACCTCGTTTCTGACGTATCATAGCTCCCTCCAGAGTTCGTGATATGCATGATAAGTAGCCTATCTTGTAACCGCAAGCCAAAAGTAAAACGAAGACGGGAAAGGCTTAAACAAGGAAATTCGTGAAAAGAAAAAGATCAAAGTCTAAAATTGTCGCTTCTTCCAAATTTTTCATAGCAAAGTCTCAAATTATGGATCTTCTTGATTTTTGGCGCACTAAACAGGGATGTTTCTGCGAAGCCTGTCCATAGGATGCCCTACCCTTATGGTTACAATAGTGAGCAAAGCTTTGGAGATTGCCTTCTTGATAGAAGTCCAAGGGGCACTGAATGACCGCAACGACTGCGCATGTTGACTTAGGGTGCGGGAACTTACCTACCCGAAAGACTTGCCGCGGCGTACCTTAGGTATCATGAGCAATCAGGTACGCAATTAGCATAGTGTACAGAACCTAGTCTGTGTGTATTCTAAGCCCCGCCTTCATCCATCGACTCTTTCGAGATGCATCCTTCAATCATGAAACCGGGAATTCAATAGAATCACAAAATTTATGCTCAGCAACTATCTGCTCGATTTTGATTAATATACGAATCTAGAGGTTTTCTGAGGCGCTCTTTCATAATATGCTATTGGTTTTGCGCTGTCTTTTCTTATAGGAGCCGAATTTTGCTTTGGTGAACTGACTTTTAGCTTAAGAAACTTCGACAAAAAAAACACGCATTAGAACGCATGTAAAACTGCTTTTTCACTGTCTCTCTTGAAACGTTAGAAGAATGACCCATTATTCTAGTGAGAACAGCATGTCCTGAGGATGTAACCTCAATGATAATGATTTCATACTCTTAAGTTTATGAAATTTTTTTGCATAAAATTGAGAATTTCTAACTCGGACTTTCATATTCAGATTTGCCTTATCCTCCTGATTACAGCCGTCTTTTTTTTTCTTTCCATTAGCTCCATTTTGAGCCACGCAGCCCTCTTCCAGCACATTCTGGCGCTGAACCAGCCTCGATTCCAGGTGTTGCCAGGTTTTCGGGCATGTCTTGTTTCTATGCCAAAAAGGTGCGGTGTGTGGGCGGGGCTTAGCTTAGCGCTGTATCCTAAGGAGAATCTGGAAGCAGCGAGCTCGCTATGCTTAATTATACCCCGCAGACACACACCCATGAGGTGCGAGAATATCTCGGGTAGGTAAGTTCCGTTCCCCGTTGACTTATCGATATATCAGCTTGTGACCTCAAAAAGTGTGTCAAGTGTAGGTGGGATAGAAACAATTTCTTTTGCATACAGTAGCTAGATTTTCGAAAAAGCGCCCTTCTTTCGCGCCTGAATTTTGGCCAGGAAAGTGAATGCATTGAAATTCCGATTTTGGCTATTTGGAGTTCTGTAACTCTTCAACACTGAGGCTGGAAGAAGCTTTAGCAACCATTAGAGTGAGAATGAAAAGAGTTTCCCATTAATATGCTGCATATGTTTTAAAGAAGAAATTGTGATGAGAAAAAGTTATCCTAAAAAACGGGTTGAAAAACGGCTATTATTTTTGCATCAAGTATAATACAAACAAGCCACCTGCACATTTTTATAATCCAAGTAAGTGACATTCAAAAATTTTGCGACCCATTCTCGGAAGGGAGGGGGGGAGGCACGCCCACCCTCCTCCGAGAATGGCACTCAGACAATTCCATCGGAAAGTTCGCGGCCTCAAAGCGTGTTACATGGAGCGCCGCGGCCCTTGAAATTTCAGCCCAGCACGCCGCGGCCCATGTACATTTTGCCGGGAACGCCGCGGCCAAAGATGAAATTGGGAAATAATTATCGGGAGTGTCGCGGCCCAACCACCTCCCTCGGCGGGCCGCGGGCCTTATCGAAGGCCGCACTTCTTACACACTGTAGGGTAAGGCGCAACCCGCGTGAGGTACGCCGCAGCGATGGAGCTACCCTAGGTGTTTATAAAGCTGGATATCACGTCTCGGATTTGGTCCTTTCTGACGGAGTCGAGTTTTCATGATCATGAAATAAACTCCAGCGACTGGTTGAGATCGACGACCGTAGGTGATGTGAAAGATGAGCTAACAAGTTGCTCAGTTTGCACCCAAGCGGCAATTTTGAATGAAAGACTAAATAGTTCTTCACTCTTCCTAGGTCCTACAAAATCGGGTCAACTATAGGCGCCTAACGGGCTCTTACAGGATGCGCCGCGGTCACTTATCGGGTCTAGTATATGAGCTTACCGGGCAGTTCGCGGCATGGATGATTGGTGGTCGAACAAGCACCCGCGAACTTCCCGATGCAATTGTCTGAGCATCTATTAGTGGTAGCCAGGATTTCCATTTGGAAGGGGTGGTTGGTAGGCTTTATTGTGGCCTTAGGCGAATGGGTGGCGCCTGTAGTGGAGTATGGTGGCTCTTGGTGTGTTAATAGAACACTAAACTATTAGAGCTTTATTGAACAGACGGCAAGTACTCTGCGTTGATACCACTGCTT